TACATATTTGAGGGAGAAGCCAATGAAAATATTTAAGTTCTCTCACTTATTTTAAAGATGTAAATGAAACTACTAATTTTCAAATGAATCACTGAAAATGAATATGTTAAAGCTGCTGCCCTCAACCTCTGAGGCTGCAGACCTGTATCAGTCTGTGGCCTGTTAGGAGCCAGGCCACACAGAAGGAGGTGAGAAGCTTCAAGCTAGGGAAACTTCATCTGTATTTACAGCATCAGTGCCTAAGCTCTGGCACCCCCTACTGCCGGCTGTGGAAAAACTGTCTTCCATGAAACCAGTCCCTGGTGCCAAAAAGGTTGGGGACCACTGTGTTAAAGAATAAATGTGAGGGGGGAGGGGGGCATGGGCAATATAAGTAACCTTAACACTTGTACCCCCATAATATGCTAAAATTTAAAAAAAAGAATAAATATGGTTGAACATCATATATTAGGAAGAGATGTTAAGTGGTTATGTATTTTAACATGGAACACTGAGCATACTTTGAAAAGTTCTTTAAAAAAAGAGGTAATAATATATTAAAACACAACAAACTAGGCCAGTTTTTTCTATACTAGCTATTAAGAAAAAAAACCACAGAAGGGGGCAAAGTACTTCTACAGTCTAGTAATTCATTAGGAGATAGAGGCAAATAGTAGCTCATTAATCCTTGAAAAAGAAAGACTTTAGTGATAGAAACTTCACTGACTGTCACAACAATCAAGTCTACTGGTGGTGCTACTGTTGTCTCTTCTCAGAAGAGGTCAGTTGGTGTCCTCCAAGACATAACAGAAAGGGAAACAGAACCCTTTCCGAGCCCTTTCTCCTATAGCAATTATTTCTAAAATCTAATGTTGAATTATTTTGTTTAGTGTTCCTTATCTTTCCTAGTATACTGCCCTGTTTAATAAGAGATTGTAGCACAGGTTCTTAGCCTGGCTTCAAGAACCTAATAAATCCCTTGAAACTATATAAGGAAAGTTGCATGTCTGCATTTTTCTAGTAAATCAGTAATGTTTAACAGATTCTGTCAATGGGGTCCATAAAATTTAACACCCACTAAGACACTCAGGTAGCTAGACTGGCAGTTTTCTAGCATATACTATTTGATTGAGGTATAAAACACAGCTGACTTTCAATTATAATCAATAAAAGACATTTATTAAATAAAAAATATAAGTAGTTTTGGAATATAGTCAAAGATATATTCTCTAGAAGTGTTTTTTCATGGAGATACAGAGTGGAAAAATAGATAACTGAGATTGGGAAGAGTAAATGAAGGGATTGGAGAGGATAAAAAGAAGTGGGTTAAACATACAGTAAAGTACAAACATACAGTAAGATAGAAGGAATAAATTCAATGCTTGATAGCAGAGTAGGATGACTATACTTAATAAAAATGAATTGTGATTGGGTGATGGATTCCCTGAATACCGTGACTTGATCACTATATATTATATACATGTAAGAAAATTTATCATATACCCCATAAATTTACAGAAATTAAAAAAAAGTGTTTAAACCACAATGAGATACCACCTAACCCCAGTGAGAATGGCCTGTATCAAGAAATCCCAAAACAACAAATGCTGGCGAGGATGCAGAGAGATAGGAACACTCTTACACTGCTGGTAGGACTGCAAATTAGTGCAACCTTTGTGGAAAAGAATTTGGAGATATCTCAAACAACTAGAAATAGAAATACCATTCGACCCAGCAATAGCGTTGTTGGGCATCTACCCAAAAGAACATAAGTCTCTCTATTATAAAGACATCTGCACCCAAATGTTTATGGCAGCACAATTCACTATTGCACGGTCATGGAAACTACCCAAGTGCCCGTCAATTCATGAGTGGATAACTAAAATGTGGTATATACTCACAATGGAATATTACTCAATCCTAAGAAACGACAGTGAGCTAGCACCATTTATGCTATCCTGGATTACGCTTAAGCCCGTAATACAAAGCGAGACGACACAAGATCTGGAAATAGGGCTACACATCTACTCACCATTAAATTGGTACTGACTGACTAAAACTATGGTGCCCAAAAAACGGTAGTGTTCAACAGAGAGTTAGAGGGGGGAGACCCACAGCTTAAGGAAATGGTGAGCATTATGAGGGGGAAGGGATTACCTCTATCCCTTTTTAGGGAGAGGCAAAGATATACATTGTTACCAAAATGTCTGGAAAAAAAATTTGTAATCCGGAAGTGGGCAGGTGGAAGGGCAAAGGAGGGGAAGGGTATGTACTTACACAGTGAGTGCAGTGCGCACCACCTGGAAGCTGGAGACACACTAGAAGCTCTAGCATAGAGGGGTGGGGGAGGAGGGGCAGGGGCAAGACATGTAACCCTAACAATATTTGTACCCCTATAATATGAGGTAATAAAAAAAAGTCTTTTTCAAATTGTAAACTGCGACACATTAGTGGGTTTTGTCTAACATTAAAAAAAAAACAAAAATAGAATAAACTAGAATAGAAATATCACAGAGTACACTGCATATAGCAAAGGCATTGTTTTATAAAGCTTTTATTCCCATTTTATATGTATGTGTGTTGTAAACTGGGCCATGATGTAAAATTTATCATGGGAGATAGCCAACAAAAGTTAAAAAACAGTGCTCTAATATCTGCTTTTTTTCTTTTCTATTTTGCCTTATAACTTTTTTTTTTGAGACAGAGTCTCACTTTGTTGCCCAGGCTAGAGTGAGTGCCGTGGCGTCAGCCTGGCTCACAGCAACCTCAATCTCCTGGGCTCAGCGATCCTACTGCCTCAGCCTCCCGAGTAGCTGGGACTACAGGCATGTGCCACCACGCCCAGCTAATTGTTTTTTGTATATATATTTTTAGTTGGTCAATTAATTTCTTTCTATTTTTGGTAGAGACGGGGTCTCGCTCAGGCTGGTTTTGAACTCCTGACCTTGAGCAATCCGCCCGCCTCGGCCTCCCAAAGTGCTAGGATTACAGGCGTGAGCCACCGCGCCCGGCCTATAACTTCTTTATATACCATTTCTATGGAAGCTTGGGCCAAAAAAGTTATGATGATAAAAATAATAATGATATAAAGAATAATACTTACTGAGTATTCATTATGTGCTAGGAGCTGTGCTAAGTGTTTTACTTTTATGATCTCATTTAATCTATACAACTCAATTAGTATTATTAACCTCCACTTCATAGAAAAGAAAACTATTTAGAAAAGTAAAATAACTTGATGTAGACATAGGCCATCTGACTCACAGCCATGCTGACCACATAAACTGCAGGCAGTGGGTCTCCTAGATAATCTCAAGAGCAGATGATTCACTTGGTGATAAACAAGAATTAAATATTATAATTTTAGAAAGGTTTAGAGACTTGGTCCTATGATGATGCTACATTGTTCATTATACTCATTGTTTTGGTTATAATTGATAAAGAATATTCTGTAAAACTAGTTATTTCTTCCTAGAGATATATTTTATTTTTTATTTTTTTTGAGACAGTGTCTCGCTTTGTTGCCCAGGCTAGAGTGAGTGCCATGGCATCAGCCTAGCTCATAGCAACCTCAAACACCTGGGCTCAAGCAATCCTGCTGCCTCAGCCTCCTGAGTAGCTGGGACTACAGGCATGGGCCATCATGCCCGGCTAATTTTTTCTATATATATTAGTTGTCCAATTAATTTCTTTCTATTTATAGTAGAGATGGGGTCTTGCTCTTGCTCAGGGTGGTTTCGAACTCCTGACCTCGAGCAATCTGTCCACCTCGGCCTCCCAGAGTGCTAGTATTACAGGTGTGAGCCACCGCGCCGGGCCTCTTTTATTTTTTAAAATTAAAAAAAGTTTATATGCAGACATGAGATATAATTTATTTTATTAATCCCTAAACTTAAAGATCCCTTTAAAGGCCCAATTAGCATAAAATTACAAGTAGCAAAGAACCATGTAAATGAATGCTATTTACCTTCTGGGGTTTGTTGTGAGAATTCAATACTTAACACAATACACTGATAAAAAATACTATCGGTACCTGTCATAAAGTAAATGTTCAATAAACATTTAGCTATTATATTAATAATTATCATACAAAATGATAGGAAAGTCTATACAATTTTTTGCTTTAGTTTTTTCCTACTTTATAGTTAGTCCTTGGGAACTATCCAAAAATTATGCTCCTTTACTTTTTAATCAATTAATTAATTTTATTTATTTATTTATTTTTTTGAGGTAGGGTCTTGCTCTGTTTCCTGGGATAGAGTGTAGTGGCATCATCATAACTCACTATAACCTCAGACTCTTGGGCTTAAGCAATCCTCCTGCCTCAGCCTCTCGAGTAGCTGGGACTACAGGTACATGTTATCATGCCTGGCTAATTTTTCAATGTTTAGCAGAGACAGGGTTTCGCTCTTGCTCAGCCTGGTCTTGAACTCCCAAGCTCAAGTGAACCTTCCACCTTGGCTTCCCAGAGTGCTAGGATTATAGGAGTAAGCCACTGCACCTGGTCAAAACTGTTCATTTAATAGAGGGCATAAACCAATAACTGATGACTACAAATACAACAGGAGTAACTTTAATTGCAATCAACAAACTCAGAGATTCTTTTTTTTCAAAATTTTTTTTTCTATATCCCAAGTCATCAAGCAATCCGAGAATCTTATATGTGTGTGATTGTCACATTGAACACTTATTTATGGAAAATCTTTTCTGCAGTTGAATCAATCGGTATAGTAATAGTGGTGGGATTATTTAAAAGAAATTAACCTATTACCTGAGGTAAGGAAATTAAAAAAAAAAACTGGTAAAAATAGGATATAGGTTGTATTCATGACAGCATGTTAATTTCAGTGACCAGGCAGGGAGGATAGACTTGAAAATTAACTGTCGGCTTACTATGAACAAACATTGGTTTGGCAACATAAATTGTCTTTCAGAAGATAAAGGATGGTCTGATTACCAAATGGTGACAATACAGTCTAGACTTTGCAAGACTTAGTGGTCTTTTATGAGCCACAACTTACCTCTACAGATTGGCATTGGTATAGGAATCGGGCTGATGACACATGAGCTTGTGGGTTGGACTGGAGGCCTAGAAATGACCATAATACCTGAATCTCCAAGGAAACTGGTATGAAACAGCATGAAGTACAGTTTTTAGCCTGCAGAAGGGTAAAGAAACATCTGCTTGAATTGCCTGATGGTTGCCAATAGTCAGTCACTATGCATTAAATAGCTATTGTTTCTTAAATGTTATATTATACAATGGAGAAGGTTTAAAGAAAGAACACAAAAGTTCACAACAGACCATATTATTATTTTTGCTTTTAAAGAATTGATGATTAAAGGCAAATTTGGATAGGGAGATGTCTTATAAAACGGTATGCAACTAGAGCAGCACATGATGCCATAGAGAGACGTTCACTCATTAATTTATAGTTATCTCCTATGTACCAGCTGTGTGGGAGGCACTGGTCTTGAGCAGGCAACTTGGTTAAAGTAAAGGGTTTGAACATAGGAATAGTGAAAGGTTAAAGAAGAGGACAACTAAGGGTTAAATTATGAAATCCATCCAAGTTGTCTGTTTTGAAGGCCTCAGAGAGCCTCAAAAGTTTCCAGAATAGAAACATGGTATACTTAAAGCAGTACTCTAAGAAGATTAATTGCAAAGATCCATATAGAAGGATATACCATTCTGTATGGTTTCAATTTTTAACTGGATAACGTATTTCAATGTGCAAATGCAAATTTTTATGAGAACAACAGGAAGAATCTGTTGTCCTTATATAACCTCATGAAAGAATCTGTGCTTACCAAATATTTAAGAATATTTGAAATACATGGTGAGCTTCTGAACCACAGGCAATCTCTAGAATTTCTACCATAATTTTTTTTCTAAGTAAGGAAAATAAGTTAGGCATAAACCTACTTTGAAATAATGACTTCAAGTGGGCATGATTTCTTACACTTTTCCTTCTATGACAAACACATTATCTATGGAGACAAGGCTGGTTTTAACCTTATTATCCATAATTTACAAAGGGGGAAAATATACTTCAACAGAATGTGCATTCTCTCCTTACTGAAACACTGCAGCTCCTGCGGAGGATCCTAGTCCACCCTTCTTTCTGGGCTGGGTCAGCATTACCAAAGATGGCAATAAGCTCTGGTCTCAGACTTCCATGGAGAGTCTGATAAATCTCCTGCTGCAAGTGGCTGCAGTTCGCTGTCTTCACCCTGTAATTAAACACCACAGAGGCTGAAGTCCAATGCTAACATAATAATGCAACTTTATTAGTACTATATATTAATCCAAATATCAGAAATATTATAAAATAGATTGGAAGAAATAATCTTTAGTAGATATTAAAGGACTGTCAGAAAACTCTTAGCAATGTTAACACTATTTAGATTAAAAGACTATTCCTAACTATAATAGCATTCTCTGAACTATCATTTAAAACATAAAAGGTATTATATCAACATATTCCCTTATAAGCAGAAACAAATTTGTGGGAAATCATATGGAAGCAAAGACTTACCTGAGCTTGCATCCAGACATTGCATTCACTCCAAATTGTACTACATGTCTCTTAACAGAGCAAGTCCCATTACCCTGGCTCTGCAAAAGGGTCATCTGAAGTGGAAAAGCGATGGTCAAGGAGATAACAGGAAAAAAAGTAGGCAAGATTGGAAAATTTATGCTCTTATTTTCCCTTAACACTATTTATATTTTATTTATATCAGTCAAGTAAAAAATGTATGCTTTTCCCCCCTAGTAATTAAAAAAACAGAGACAATTACTGTTTTTCCAAAATGGTTAACCGGATGCCAGTATATAAATATCTCGTTAAAACAAAAAATCAGTCCAACCCTCACCTTTGGCCAGTATAATGTAAGTTTTAAAGCTTTTGGTGGCATCAACATTCAAGAACATAATGTATTCATAATTTGGTAAAGAAAGTGCTGAATACCAAAAAAATGGGGAACTTCAAGAATCGAAAAATCTAAAAGATCAGCTTCTCATTAGGGTACCCAGCTCTAAAAAGGATACTGAGTAACTTATATCACCAGTTAGAGCTAAGAGTGGCTTCCCAACAATATAGCCAGGATTCCCACTTCTAGGACCAGTAAGAGGAGCAGCTGTGCTTTGTTGAAACGGCTGCAGAAAGAGTGAAGAAAAGTCATTTATGGAGAAAAGCATGCTTTGCCACCTTCTACTTCGTGGCTTCATATTCTTTCTTAAGGCAGTGTAATAAGTGAGCTACAATGAACAATCTGGCTTCTTTCCACAGTGTAGCATTTTGCAGAAATTTCTACTCCAGTATTTGACTTTTTTTTATTCACTAAAATAAATCCTCAGTGATCTGAATATTGAAATTCACTATATGCCACTTCTATCAAGGATTACGACACCAAGGATCTATCAAGGATACCTTAGCCCTATTTCTAAAAATTTATTAGCAATTTAGGGCTATGTTCAGCCTGGCTAAAATCAGAGGAATTTAAACGTAACTTTAAAAATATATTTTAGTTAACTATAAATGTTCCAGAGTTGAGTTCTGACAGACACAGTGCTTGGATGATCATCTGAAGGTAGAGTTGAGAAGAATTCTGCTGGGTTCAAAAAGAGGAAAGAAGTAGAAGAAAGCTAAATGGTGGTGATCAAGACTGGAAACTTAAATTAAGTGGGAAATGAATAAAATTCTGAATAGGAGAAAAGCTAAAGAATTTCTGTGGATGTTGGTTGAGTTTATGATTCAAAACAACTATTTAAAAAAAGAGTTTTGATTTGAGATTGAAGTCAATCTTGTTGGACCAGAGTATCAGAGAAAACATTAACAAATAAACATTTGTTGAATACCTGTAACTTGTAGTTGAATTATGAAATATTAAATATTGAGGCATTAATCAACAGATTGAACTAGGAGGGCTTCATATTCTTATTCTATTTCACATGGATTACAGAAGCAGGGGAACTATTTATAACCCAATATTTCTTCCCTTCTTAATCCCCTATAAGAGAAGGGCCCTAACCCTGAAGTAAAAGATGAAGTGTTGCTGTAAAGAAGGGCTTGGCTCCACAGTCAGGTTGGTTTGTTCAAAACTGACAGAGACTTTCTGTATTCCAAAAGTCCCATTGGTCTCTATTTCATAGGTGACCTGAAATGCAAAACAATAATCAATTAATAAAAATAGTTATTGGACCAATTATTGTAACTGAATGAGGGAGACTGAAAAAGTAATATTAAAAATGCCAAACACAAAAACCATGAAATGATAAAGATGACTTCATATTACATTTGCCTATGGAGAATAAACTAGATAGAGCTCTTTGAAAGGGTTCATGGAGGAGGTGACTTTATGGTATGAATTGAAAAGGAAGAAAAGTTGTGATTGTGGGTAGAGGAGGGCAAGTAGAAACAGAGGCAGAAGTGAGCACAGAACAGAAACTTGGTATATTTGGCTCTCTTAATATCTGAGGATGGAAGTCACAAGTAATTGAAGGTAACCTTAAATTTCTCAGCAGTCTTTAAAAGGATGCTTTAAGATAATTTTTGCTTTTTTAGGTTGGATCAATTAGAAGAGCGAGAATAGAGGAAAAGAAGTTGACTTTTCAGCCTTTCAGATGATATCGACAATGTCAATGAAGAAAATGTGCTCAGTCAGTAAAAACTGGTAAAAGGCTGCATGTGGGCAAAGGAAGAGTCAGAAATAATTCTAATGTTCTGGTCCTGAAATCCTCCAGAGGATGGAGGATGGTGGCAATGGAAATGACTGAAACATGGTTGGGAAAAAGATGATGGGCTCTATTCTTGACATGTGAAATTTCAGGTAATGCACAAAAATTTAGATGGGGTCAGCCTAGTACTTAAGAGACAATGAGAGTTGGTCCGAGGGTTGTGGGTTATTGTTAAGCTGATTTAACATTGTCTCCCCCCACAACCACGCTTGACTAGCTTTAAAAAAAAAAAAAAAAAAAGAGACAATGAGGTACCTCTGGTAATAATGATCATATACATCACTCTAGAATCTGAGGCCAGCATCCCTACCTGGGAAACAACATTCTGACAAGTGTTTCCAGCCAACACAGGAGGACCAACCTGCGAGACAACTGTTACAGGAACCTGGAACTAGCAAGGGAAAGAAGGAAGTCAACAAAATCGAAAGGAGCATTCTCTCTTCTTGCTAGATACCATACTAAAATGAATATTTTCCCTTCCCCTTGACCATCCCTTTTCTCTCTGTCTTCGTCCATTGCCAGCCTACAATTTAAATTCAAAAGTCTTTCTAACCAGCACTTCTCAAAACTTATTTCTCAAAACACTAATTCTATTAGATATAAAATAATGGTTTCATGGTCAAATAAGTTTTAGAAACACTGTATTCAATACTCTCCCCTTAGAGATTAACAAGGCCTTTAACAAATTAAAGACTCCAAAAAGCTCACCCTAAATAGTTTATCATACTTATGTTTTCCAAACTTATCTAACACCTTATGAATCCTTATTTCATGAGGCTGTTAATGGTATAGAACATACTGTTAATGGTATAGAACAGCACAAAAGCACTGTTTTAGATCCATATTTAATTGTTTGCAACATCACGCTTACATTTATCTTTCACTATTACAGTCTGGACTGACATTCCCTCAGATGAAAGGGGGCCAAATATTCTTTTTCCTTTTTCTGGATAAACAGCATCATACCTCCATATTCTGCAGATCAGCCATACCTCTTGGAACCTAGAATAAGAGAACAGCAGGGACATGAGTGCATATATCCCACAGAAAATTACTAGGAGCTTGTGGTTTTATATTACTATCAACAGGCTTTGGTTTTGAGGGAAATCAATACATTGGAATGATTTGTTTCCTCTCTTTCACCTGACTCTTCCTTATACTAAAATGCCAGGGAGTGGAGAGCTAGAAGGAAGGGTGGATAGACTCTGATGTCCACCTACCATGACAAATCTGCTGAACAGCAGAAACAAGAAGTTTGGTGAAACAGTGAAATATTATCCCCTCCCACCCTGCCAAGCCAATCCTATTAGCAAGATGGGTGACAATCCTAGCCATATATCCCTAATTCTTTAATCTGTCTTCAGACAACAGGGTTTCTAGGCCCTCTGAATTTTATGTAGCTCTTGGGGATAGTGACTTCCAGTTCAATGCTCTTTTCACAACCCACAACAGTTTGAAGCATGTTGACTTCAAATCCACAGTGGTAACAGAGTGAGAATAGAATGAGCACCCACCTTCAAGACTGCGAAGTCATAGTAAGAGGCAGCATTGAGGGCTGAATCCAAGGTACAGCTACTTGCCAGGTTCTTGAAGAAACGTGTGCAGGTTGTACTTTTACTCTCTAGGAAACCTTAGAACACAAAGAATTAAGAGAGTGGTAAATGAGAAAGCCTATTTTAAATTGAGCAAAAAGGCTGGTACTTCTGCCCTGCTCACCTGCAGGATTGCTCTCGGCACAGAGTCCTCCAGCTCCAACTCCTGCAGGCTGTCTCAGCAAGCTTATTACAGACCACTGGGGGAAGTAAGTAAGAATGGGGTCCCCAGCCTGAATAAAATATAGAAGAAATTTTTTGTAGCGAGATTGGACAGAACTACACCAGAAAAGAAAAAGCAGAAACAAAGGTTAACTCAACAGCTTGTTTCTATGGGCAGCATTGCTCTCCAAAGAGCCGACAATGGTTTATCTAGCTGCAGGGAGGTACCACAAAGATAGCTTGTCAATTGTCTGCTCTGAGAGGAAAAACCCAAACCAAACAATCCCATCCCCTTTCCCAGGCTCACCCTGTAAAAAGCTGATGGTGACTGGGTTTGGAATGCTGAAGTGAATGATTCGCCTCCAAACTCTGCAGCCAGGGCCTGAAAGTTGGTTGCATTAACCTCTTGGAGCTTCTGGAAATAGTTTAATTTTGCTATAATGTTTTTAAAAGAAAAATCATTTAGATAAAAGATAAATATGTATTTTAAAATATCTGGCATGTCAAATAACTAATTTTTAAAAATATTTTCATTGAAGCATAATATACATAAAGTGTACAAATATACTCATTTTAAGTGTAAACTCAAAAATTTTTTACAAATTTATATACTTGTATTACCATCATTCAGACCAAGTTATAGAGCATTTTCCCAGAAGGTTTCGAATCAATACTCCATCTCCAGAGATAACAATTCTGATAGCAACCCATTAACTAAATCATTGTTTTAGTATTAACCATTTCAGTATGGTGCTCACTGGCCTCGAAACCTTGCCCACAGCCAGCAATCATAGTCCACACGATAGTTTGTGCTGTGCATTGACAACGAATCCATTTTGCTCTTGTGTGATGAGGAAAGCTTTAAAGCACTGAAAGTTTGTTTTACTTTACAGGCAGCTTTACTTATAATGTAAATCAGAATAGGTAACATTTATATATATGTTTTTATTATGTTTTTGTTTTTTTTTTTTTTTTTGAGACAGAGTCTGGCTTTGTTGACCAGGCTAGAGTGAGTGCCATGGCGTCAGCCTAGCTCACAGCAACCTCAAACTCCTGGGCTCAAGCAATCCTGCTGCCTCGGCCTCCGGAGTAGCTGGGACTACAGGCATGCGCCACCATGCCCAGCTAATTTTTTTTTCTATGTGTATTAGTTGGCCAATTAATTTCTTTCTATTTATGGTAGAGACGGGGTCTCGCTCTTGCTCAGGCTGGTTTCGAACTCCTGACCTCAAGCAATCCGCCCACCTCGGCCTCCCAGAGTGCTAGGATTACAGGCGTGAGCCACCTTGCCCGGCCTTATTATGTTATTTTTAAATGTGCACAATTTTATTTTGATATATGAAAAATTAGAAAAGTCAATTCAAAATTATAGTTTTATTTCATTCATATCTTAAAGAAATAAGGCAAGTTTTTGAATATTATGATAAATTTTCTTTAGTATGATAAATTTTGAAGCATGGGGCTACACATAGGCCAATATTACATTGTTTACAATAGTATCTAGTACTACGCCTTTTATTATTTTTTGAGCATACAATATATCTTCTTAATGGATTTTTCCTTTTTGTTTTATCACTATTGTAAGGTGATGGAAAATGTCTTTCTCTAAAATGCATGAGATTTTCTGATGCAGTACAAGGGTTGTATTGCCATGATTCGGAGTACTGTTGTAGAAGTTTTGTTATTAACGTTAAAGTCGATGCTAGGCTGTGCACCTTCATATCACGACAGCCATACTGAAGTGGTTAAGATATAAGAATATGGTCAGATCCACAGGTCCAGAAGCAGTGTACAGGATCATATGGGAGGCGGCAGGGGGCATCAAAAGCAGGGAGCACCAGTTGGGCACTACCTCAGTAGCTCTGGAGCGTAATCATAAGGCTGGATTCAGAAGGTAGTAGAAGGTTTGGAAAGGAAGGGACAGCCTTACCTTAAATTGAAGTATTCACTTTGCTCCCTTTACCATCTTACAACCTAAAAGGCCACAGCCTTCTGACAAATGCTTTCAAGTTCAAGTCCCTCTGAAACCAAAAATTGATTCTTTTCTGAGATGAATATAGTTTTTCAATTTCTTTTCTAACAATGAGGTGAAATCAGGGTGACTTGACTTTCAGGATGAAGGGAACATTTAAATCTATTTTGTGTAGGAACATTGCTTCATAAACATTAAAAAAAGATATATTAGCTTCATATCTTTAGAAAGGTTATAGCTATCACTAGCACATTTCTAAGTCCATTAAAAAACTCCAAAAATAACCATCTCTCAAATTTATTGCACTCTACAGATATAGAGCACTTTCACCTTCAGGGCCAATGATATTATTTCACACTTTATAGTTGAAGAAACGAGCTTGGAAATGCTAAGGGATTTGCTCAAGTCTGTGCAGCTGGTAAGAAAATGGCAGGACTGAGATCCTAGTAGTCTAATGTTGCTTCTCCTACACTGTTGCTTTACGAAATAAAAACAAAGTTTGCATAGACTCATTTGTTAAAGATGTTCATTCAAGTATTATTTGGTGTCTACTATGTGTCCAGAACTGGGGATCCAGTGAGTGTCCTCATGCAAGTGGGGTATATAGTCTATCTGTGATTATCTGAACTAAGAGGGATAATTAAAAGGGGTGGGCACTGCCCTAATGCTGAAGAAGAGGGCTGAGGCTGAGCATCCTCAGGGAACATTAAGAAGAACACCTGCAGTGGTACAAGCTGCAGGGTGCACATGGGGCAGTAGAGACTTCGGAGGGTCCAGTACTGAAATTAACATTCTGTATGAGTGTTCTGATCCACAGCCAAAAGGGCATAAGAAATTGCAAATATTCAGTAATAAAAGACAGAGACAAGAGGTAGAAAGAGGGGTAGAGATTCAAAGGACAAAAAAAAAAAAAAAGTTTAAAAAAGAAATGGAAAAAAGGCCAGAGAAAAAGGTAATTGTCTATAAATATTAGTCAATAAAAACAGCCAACATGTTTCTACTTACAGTTGTTCGCATGGACACAAAACTGCCTAATTCCATTTGAATCCATGAAAACTCTTGAAGGAAACGGGGAATTACTCCTGAAAATAAGAGAGTTGTCTACACACACCCAGCTTGAAGATCTGTGAGGAAAGAGGAAGATACATTAGTAAGTGGAGGGGTAGGTCTAAAGAAGAGGGCTCCACGGATGGCTCAAGAGCGGACTCCTTGAGCTGCTACAGGACAATGCGAAGGTCCTATTCTACTAGACAGCCCTGCTCTAGATAATCAGAAAAGGCTATTTCTGGGACAAAAACAAGAGAATGTCCTAGCAGTGGAAGTCAGGGTGGGAGGCACGAAGGCTAACTTTTCCTACTTCCAAATATTACCCATTCAAGGGCCCAAACGCTTTTAGGATTCAGCCTGCACGCAGAAGCTCACCTTAAGCTGCCAGGAAGGCAGAAGGAGAAAACTGTTCTCGGATGGAGAAGATAGCAGTCCCTGTCGCAGCAGCAATTTATATCGCAGGTACCAGGAGTCAGGTCACAGATACAGACCGGTAAGACTATGAAAGTACAACATAAAGTAGAACGAGCGGGATAAGGATCCTCAAGTTCTTCCAAGTGCTAATTCCCCCTCTTCCGACAGCCCCATTCCTAGCTTTGTGGCAATTCAACTTTGCTCACAGAATTTTAGATCTGAAAAGTCAGTAGTTCCCACCTCCCACAACCCCTTCCCTCACCTGGGAAAACTTCCACAGTTCTATTCCTAGGCGCCGAGGAGGTCACGAGAGTAGGGCCCACAGTAGAGATCCCAAGTACATCCGGGGGAGTTGCAGTCCCCTCGGAGGAGGACTGGACGGTCCAGCCCAGCGTCCCTGGCCCCAGGTCCGGAGAGGTGGGCACTGCCGCTGACGAGGAGGAAGAGGGCTGAGGCTGGGCATTCTCAGGGAACATCAGGAAGAACACCTGCAGGAGCACGAGCTGCAGTCTGCACATGAGGCAGTAGAGACTTCTGAGGGTCCTATTTGTGGCTCCGCGGTCTCTAGACGCGTTGCTAGAGCGTGGCTGGGAGGAGTCGCATAGCGACTTACGTCATCCGCATGCACCTTCTCATTGGCTAATGGCGATTGCTGCGAACTTTTCAGCCAATAGAAAGCGTGGTTGTTACAGCTATTTCAGCAGCCTTCAGTCTGCGCCCTCCTCATTAGGCGGGCCTGGCATTGCCTCCGTCGCCTGGCAACCGCCGGTGGCAAAGGAGCCGTTGCCGCTTTCCTCCGCTAGATGACGGTAGTAGTTAGGCGTCGAACAGATGCTGCGGAGTCTGGTGGCGACTTCGTGGCCCACGGTTTCCTCCACGGAAACCCCAGAGGCGGGAACTAGAATTACAGGTCTTTCCTACTCTGGATTCTAATGGTGAGAAACCTTTTCTATGGAAGGATAATGATCTCAACGGGGAGAATATACTCAAGTCACATACCTTAAAAAGTCTCCTCTAATACAGTGGAGTGTTTTTGTTTTGTTTTGGAAACACATTAGAAGTAATGTTCATTCAGCCTCTTAAATTTTAACATTGCATCAAATTGTTAAAGGTGGAGTGCATATATTTGTTGCTAGAAAAAGTAGTAAGAGACGGGCATTAGGAATAAGAAAAAAAGGTGGGGGAAATGTGAGAAGATAGGGAGAGAAGGAATAAAAAAAAAGGAGAAACAGAATTTCTGGGAGATGAGGAGAAAATAAGATGCAGGAAAAGAACTAGTCAAGGAATGGGGATGAAAACTTACTTTTTGCTATTATAATCGCCACTTTTGTAACTCTTTTTAGGAAGTTTTTGATTTTTTAGGAGTGGCACGACTCTCTCCAGATTCCCCTGAGCAGTGCTGTCCAATAGAACTTTCTGCAGTGTCGCAAATGTTCCATAGCTGCACTGTCCAATATGGGAGCCACAGGCCATATGTGGCTGTTGCACACTTGAAATGTGGCAAGTGTGACTGAAGAGCTGAATTTTTTTTTCTAGAAGTGGAAGTTTTAATGTTTAAATTTTAATTTAGTCAAAGTTAAATAACCACAGATGAGAGTAGCTACTGTATTGTACAGTAGGACTCTAGATGATCAAAATCTTGCTGTTGCTAGACCTATTGTTGTTTTCTTGTGTTCACATTTCTTTTTTTCTTTGTTTTTTTTTTTTTTTCTCCATGCAGGCTTCCTAATGTTCACATTTATGACATCTGGATTATTTCAGTTGTTTGGTTTTGAGATAATTAAGGTATGTTAAAAGTTATCTAAAAATCTAGTACACTTGCCTAAAATCTAGCAAATACCTCCCTTTCCAAGCCAATTGCTTACACAGATACATTTTAGGACACCTGAATTTACTCATGTTCTTTGATAAGACCTTGATTTTCTAATGTTTTGAAGTCAGCAACTCGATGTATCTCTGTGTTATAAATATTCTCAAACATATTTTTATGTGATTGGGTGATGGCAGCTATGAGAGATATATATATTTATGTTTGACCTTAAAACAATTATCTATCTTATTAGTAATGTCTGTAGGAAAAGGCCAAATTCAGATTATTCAAATTATATGTATTTACTAGAATATAAGCTGCACAAAACAAGGAGTTTTTATCTATCTTGTTCACTGATGTAACCCCATGCCTAGAACAGTACATGTTAGATGTGCATTAAATATTTTTAAAAATATATCAAAGACTGTTTTGTTAAACTCTTTGGACTTAACTCTTATGAATATTTATAGTTTATTTTATTTCATTATTATATTTCTTTCTATAAAATTTCTGTTGCACATCCAATCAGAGACTATTTTAGATTTCAAAGTTTGGAATTTAAATGGCAACTCTCAAACAGTGTTAAGTTATTCCTGAATTTATTAGTGTTGGCAAAAGACTCTGTTGATTGAAGTAATTTCAAGGATAAGTAATAAGGAAATAATGTTCAGGATCTTTCTGAGTTGCTTTTTCTTTTTTCTTTTTTTTTTTTTTTTTTTGAGACAGAGTCTCGCTTTGTTGCCCAGGCTAGAGTGAGTGCCATGGCGTCAGCCTAGCTCACAGCAACCTCAAACTCCTGGCTCAAGCAATCCTCCTGCCTCAGCCTCCCAAGTAGCTGGGACTACAGGCATTCGCCACCATGCCCGGCTAATTTTTTGTATATATATTAGTTGGCCAATTAATTTCTTTCTATTTATAGTAGAGACGGGGTCTTGCTCAGGCTGGTTTCGAACTCCTGACCTCGAGCAATCCGCCCGCCTCGGCCTCCCAGAGAGCTAGGATTACAGGCGTGAGCCACCGCGCCCGGCCTGAGTTGCTTTTTCTTACTTTTAAATTTTAGCACTTAAAACGATTTTTAGAAAAGTTTTTTATTTTCTCTCTTCTGTTATAATTGAGCGAAAACATTTGTATTGTTGATATTATGTGTTTGTAGGAATTTATGTAATATGGAACTCTCAATTCTTTTTAGACCTAATATTAAAATCTGAAAGATAATTTTGAGGTAGAAGAATGACATTCATTCACGTGTCATGCATATGCCAGTTTTCACATAGGAACTAAGTCTTACATTGAGATACTACAATATGACATCACCTCAGAAGCAGAGATTTCCAAATTAGATCATTTGATACTAGCACCTGTCTGGATTAAATGTTTGGGATTAAAAGACTTCAATATGTGATTGGAAATTTAGCCAGGAGATTATATCAAGATCAGATTCTAGCCTTTCCCCATTTCTTTCCTCTTTCCCAAATCTCTAAAAATTACAGAAAAGTTGGGTAGATACACACACTCTTGTGCATACATGCACACACCTAGCTATTGGAAAACATGAAGGGGTACTCTCATGGACCAGATATTATAAGAATCCTTGATAAATAGGAGGCAGATCAGATTGGATTGAAAGTGGACAAACAAAAGTTGTGTATCAGAGGCTTTATACAGAAGTGGAAGTAGCTCCTAGGGAGCTCTCAGCACACATAAAGCAGCTACTGCTTATCATCAGGGGCCTTTAGATAATTGTATGAGTTATTGATTGAGGTACCACCATAGGAGGAGCCAGGTAGGTCAGCCTCTCAACCTTACCCTTACTAGTGCATGCAGTGGGTAACAGAAGAATTTGCCCCTAAAGGTGTGGGTGGGGGTAGAGAGAGGCATGCCACACAGGCACTTTTGCTGGAAAGGCAGAACAGTGCCCTGGCTGGCTTCTGACATCTAAAGGGAAGAGAGAGGCCCCACACTTTGAAACTGGTACTAGCACACTGCTATGGTTTGAATATCTCTTCCAAAACTCATGTTGACACTAAATCTCCAATGTGGCAGTATTGAGAGGTGGGGCCTTTGAGAGGTGATTGTATCATGAGAGCTCTGCCCTCATCAACGGATACATCCATTCATGTGTTAATGGATTAATGGGTTATTGTGGGAGGGGAACTAGTGACTTTATAAGAAGAGGAAGAGAGACCTGAGCTAGCAAGTCAGCACACTCAGCCTCTTTGCCATGTGATGGCCTGTGCTGTCTTGGGATGCTACAAAGAGTCCCCACCAGCAAGAAGGCTTTCATGAGATGGCCCCTTAACTTTGGACTTCCCAGCATCCACAACTATAAGAAATTTTGTTTCCTTATAAATTACCCAGTTTAGGTTTTTGTTTGTTTTGTTTTGTTGTTGTTTTGTTTTGTTTTTTGAGACAATCTCGCTCTCTGACCCAGGCTAGAGTGCAGTGGTGTCATCAAAGCTCACTTCAACCTCAAACTCCTGGACTCAAGCAATCCTCCTGCTTCATCCTGCCAAGTAGCTGGCACTACAGGTGTGCACCATTGCACCTGGCTAATTTTTTTGTTATTGTTGTTAGAGAAGAGGGTCTTGCACTTGGTCAGGCTGGTCTTGAACTCCTGACCTCAAGTGATCCTCCTGCCTTGGCCTCCTAGAATGCTAGGATTACAGGCATGGGCCACCATGCCTGGCCCAGTTTTAGGTATTCTGTGACAAGGAACAGAAAATGGACCAAGACGCACACCTCATCAAACCACACATCCACCATTTCCTCCTTTCACAAATCCTGGAGGCAGAATGCAGTAAATAGATCCAGCATGTGTGCAGGCTAACAGGGAATCTCAATCACTGAGATGAACACACAATCAAAAGATCCACATTTGAAAAATAAAAAAACCTAGCAAGTAAAAAAGGGGTACAATACTCAAGCAGAATTGAAACTTGATGAAATGAGTTAATAGGACAAGTTAGAACAAGAATTTAGAACAAATATAATTAGCATCTCCACAGAAACACAAGAGAATATTGCATTTGTTAAACCAGGAATCAGCTAGGAATTATGATTAAAGAAGGCAGAAAAATGGACATTTGACCCTTCTTTTGAAATTTTATTAAAATTCCATTGAAATAATTAACCATGCATAAATTAACAAAAACAAAAAGAACTTGGGGGTGTGGGTTGACTATTAGTAGATGATTTTCCATATATATCTGAAGAAAGAAATTGGAAGAATGTTGACTGAAGAAGTAGCAGCACAGAATGTATATGGAGGGTAGCTGCAGCAAAGTAGGCAGCTGACTTTTAGCAGAACACTACAGTGTAATCAGACTTAAAGATAGCAGATAAGGAGAGGGTAAAGGGGGAAGCTGACTGAAAACAAGGAAATGAATTGAAGGTCTATATATTGAACAGTTTGTCTTTGTACCCAAAATGACCTATAACTAGATATTTTCCTTCAGGAAAAGAGAATAGAGTTCTTTCTGGAAACCAATATACCATCTAGTTAGTATCCTCAGAGAGATACTAGAAATAAGTAATAAAATATTCATAAAATAAGAGTAGAGATTGCTTCTTTGGCAAAAGAGAAATCAGAGAATAAGAGAGAGATCTTGGAAATTAAAACTATGATTGCTGATCTTAACACTTTTTTGTTTAAAACTTTGGGATATAAATATAAGGACATTTCCTAGTCTATAGAACAAAAAGGTAAATAAATAGAAACCATGAGACATAGAGGATTAAAACTAGAGATATTCCAGGAAAAAAAAGAGAAAATGAAAGAATTAGAGAAATAAACAATATTAGTAGTTAAAGATATATTGGTTAAAGAAATATTAGTGTATTTCCTAATGATAAAGAAAGTAACATATATAATGAATACTTGAATCCAGTAAATAAAGAATACTCATTCTTTTTAAAGGAATTGAATCTTCAGATGAGAGGAGCCACTGGGAAATA